GCATTCATTAGTTAGCAGTTCATCTAACTTTTTTTTATTTTCCTGCTTTTATAATGAGATTTTTGTTAACGCAATGTTATTGCTGGTATTTTCTACTGCGACATTAGTAATCATTACTACCACAACTAATACTGCTGCTGTACTGTTATTTCTGTAATTGATACTACAGCACAGCTGCTGCTTCTACTGTAATTACTGTAACTTCATCACTATTGCTGTTCATAGTTATTATGTATTGAAATGTATGCCGGGCGGACAGCACGCTGGATTTGTGATCATGTGGTCCTGGGTTCGATCCCAGGCGCCGGCGAGAAACAATGGGCAGAGTTTCTTTCACCCTATGCCCCTGTTACCTAGCAGTAAAATAGGTACCTGGGTGTTAGTCAGCTGTCACGGGCTGCTTCCTGGGGGTGGAGGCCTGGTCGAGGACCGGGCCGCTTGACACTAAATAGCCCCGAAATCATCTCAAGATAACCTCAAGATGCCATTTTCTCCTTTAATTGTAAAAAAAAGTCATCAGTCATCCAGAAAGATAGTGCTTTTATCAATTGTTGGGTACACAAGAACAAAGATAACTGCAGAAGGTCTATTGCCCCATACGAGGCGGCTCCTATCTCTAACCATCCAATCCTACTCATATACATGTCTAACCCGCGCTTGAAACAATCGAGGGACCCCACTTCCGCCACGTTACGCGGTAATTGGTTCCACAAATCAACAACCCTGTACGGGTAGAACGTACAAAATGGACTGTTGCGGCCCGAAACGAGTCATGTTTTTGTGCTGTTTATTTTGTAGAGGGCGAGAGAAAGTAGGCAATAAGAAAAGCTAAACGTTGCAAGACTTGGCATAGAACATAGTTGGTGCATTATGCCTAAGATTGCTGATTTAGGCCTAAGATAAGCTGGGATAATTTATATAGTAACTGTTCTAGCTATAGTAACTGTTCTAGCTATAGTAACTGTTCTAGCTATAGTAACTGTTCTAGCTATAGTAACTGTTCTAGCTATAGTAACTGTTCTAGCTATAGTAACTGTTCTAGCTATAGTAACTGTTCTAGCTATAGTAACTGTTCTAGCTATAGTAACTCTTCTAGCTATAGTAACTCTTCTAGCTATAGTAACTGTTATATAAGAGAATAAAACCAACTTATGGAATACAACAGTCCATTTTTTTACGATTGACGAATAGTTGAGTACTATAATTTTTGAGGGACTGGTGGAAATAATTCAGATAATTGTCGTTATTAATATTATCTGCAATAATAATATTGTACATGGAGTGTGTGGGAGAAAAGATGGTGCTGCGTTTTCTTCAGTATTATGCCATTGTGTGTGTGTGTGTGTGTGTGTGTGTGTGTGTGTGTGTGTGTGTGTGTGTGTGTGTGTGGAGGAAGGTGATGGCGCCCCGAGGCACTGTGGAGACGGTGTTGGGGTAATTACCAGATGGTTACCGCGGACCTGGCACTCTTAAACCCCCCTCCCCCCCCCTGTCATGGTGGGTACCGTTGGCCGACGTTTGTCTGTCTGTCTGTCTAGGGATAATACTCGCACGCGCGCGCCCCACCGGCACCCCCCACCGGCACCCCCCACATGGGCGCCCCACCGGCACCCCCCACATGGGCGCCCCACCGGCACCTCCCACATGGGCGCCCCACCGGCACCCCCCCACATGGGCGCCCCACCGGCACCCCCCACATGGGCGCCCCACCGGCACCCCCCACATGGGTGCCCCACCGGCACCCCCCACATGGGCGCCCCACCGGCACCCCCCACATGGGCGCCCCACCGGCACCCCCCACATGGGCGCCCCACCGGCACCCCCCACATGGGTGCCCCACCGGCACCCCCCACATGGGCGCCCCACCGGCACCCCCCACATGGGCGCCCCACCGGCACCCCCCACATGGGCGCCCCACCGGCACCCCCCACATGGGCGCCCCACCCTCACCCCCCACATGGGCGCCCCACCGGCACCCCCCACATGGGCGCCCCACCGGCACCCCCCACATGGGCGCCCCACCGGCACCCCCCACATGGGCGCCCCACCGGCACCCCCCACATGGGCGCCCCCACCGGCACCCCCCACATGGGCGCCCCACCTACACGGCCGCCCCCCACATGGGCGCCCCACCTACACGGCCGCCCCCCACATGGGCGCCCCACCTACACGGCCGCCCCCCACATGGGCGCCCCACCTACACGGCCGCCCCCCACATGGGCGCCCCACCTACACGGCCGCCCCCCACATGGGCGCCCCACCTACACGGCCGCCCCCCACATGGGCGCCCCACATACACGGCCGCCCCCCACACGGCCGCCCCCCACACGGCCGCCCCCACATGGGCGCCCCACCTACACGGCCGCCCCCCACACGGCCGCCCCCCACACGGCCGCCCCCCACGTGGGCGCTCCACATACACGGCCGCACCTGTGCTTGTACACTGGGCTGAACATGTTAAAACACTTCAACCTCGGCCGGATGTTGCCTCAGGTGACCGCCTGAAGGAACTGGCCAGGTTAGTTTCTCAAGATTTTCCCTCGACTTCTGAAGAAAGTAGTTACGGTATTTTCAAGTTTTCCCAGAAATTCCACACATTTATTATGGCATTTTCAGGGTATCTTCTGGCTTTTAATCTGGTGTTGATGTTTTTAGGTTTGTTTGGTGAGTGCTGAGCTCTGTGTAATGACTGGCAGCGCTAGAAATATTGTAGAAAACCTTAATTGAATAAGGGAAATTGCTAAAGGGCTGTGCGAGACAGCTTCGTAAGGTGTTGACGACTCATTAGGACATGTCTGACAAATGCAGGCGATGAGTCACAATAACGTAGTTGAAGTATGTTGACCAGACCACACACTAGAAAGTGAAGGGACGACGACGTTTCGGTCCGTCCTGTACCATTCTCACAATCGACTTGAGAATTGTCCAGGACGGACCGAAACGTCGTCGTTCCTTCGTCTTAAGGTGATTGTACATGTATTGTTCTCTCTCCTTGTTAGCCAAACATTACCTGTGCTCTGATACACTGCCACTTGGACCTCAGGGTATTGCCAGTCATGTGCACCAAGCCGATTTTGCCACAAAATTTGCCCAAGTGTACAAAGTTGGTCTGGTAAACGGCGCCTGTGTCACATCAAGTTTAGCACGTTGCACTAATCAGAAGTGGAGCTTTTGATAAGTGCAGTGTGTCGTCTTCTGCTAGGTTGTTTAATGTGACGAGGTGATCGGGTAACGTTAGACGTTTGACCCCTGCAGTGGTTCGTGCAGAGCCCAGGATAGGTCAGCAGGCTTCTTCTGTTAAGAACATTGTTTCAAGCGCGGGTTGGACATGTATATGAGTGGGATTGGGTGGTTATAGATAGGAGCTGCCTCGTATGGGCCAATAGGCCTTCTGCAGTTACCTTTGTTCTTATGTTCTTATGTTCTTAACATAAAAATAAAGATGACTGCATAAGGCCTGTTGTCCCATACGAGGCAGTTCCAATTTATAACCAGTCAATTCCACTCATATACATGTCCAACCCACGTAAGAAACAATCAAGAGACCCCATCACCACGTTACGCGGTAATTGGTTCCATAAATACACAACCCTGTTACCGAACCAGTATTTACCCCAGGTCTTGGTGAATGTGGGGTTCCTTGATTGTTTCCATCGTGGGTTGGACATGTATATGAGTGGGATTGGGTGGTTATAAATAGCAGCTGCCTCGTATGAGACACTAGGCCCTCTGCAGTTACCTTTATTCTTATGCCTTTCCTAAATCTAAACTTATCTAATTTATACCCATTGTTTCGTGTTTTGTCTTGTGTAGATACTTTTAATACCCTATTAATATCCCATTTGCTATGTCCATTCATCCACTTGTACACCTCTATCTTGTCACCCTTAATTCTTCGTCTTCTGGTGATCCTGGAGTGACTCCTAGTACTTAGCTATTGATGTAATAGTACATACAATTGTTTTTTCTCCCCCCGTACTCCTGACTAATTATGTGGCTACGCGATAATTTACCATTAGTTAATGCATTAATTACATTATCATGTTCACACTGTTCAAATAAAAATATCCGCTTTCCATAAGCGGGTAATTTACCTTTTCATTAATTTACCTTTTCATTCCAGGTAAAAACACCTGTCCATATTGCTAACGATATCCAACGATTGCTAACGATATCCAACGATTGCTAACGATATCCAACGATTGCTAACGATATCCAACGATTGCTAACGATATCCAACGATTGCTAACGATATCCAACGATTGCTAACGATATCCAACGATTGCTAACGATATCCAACGATTGCTAACGATATCCAACGATTGCTAACGATATCCAACGATTCCTGTTGTCTTTCCTAACCTGTTTTTAGTACAAATAGTCCTGTCGAAATCTCGCCGGAGAAGCCACTGTGCTATGATTTTTTTCATTATTTTTATGTTCTCTTGTTTACCGTTTCGGGGGAGCTGCCCCCTCCTCTTCCCTTCCACAATAGGTATTTGATGTAAAATCCTTTACATTTAAAAGCATAGGTATTGACTCTATTGGCCTCGTATGGGCCCAATAGGTCTTTGCTGTTTCCCTAATTCTTATGTTCTTAGATCTCTTTTTACGGGTTTTCTAAATGTTTTGTGACGCTACAAGTATTTGTTAATGTGGCTTTCGGCCTTTTCTTCTACGTGTTGGGACTCGCGCTCCTTAAACTGCTGTATTTTTCTCCCGAGGTCCGTCCAACTGGGTTTTCAGAGAAGCCCACATCTCCCCCCAGTTCCCTGAATACTCTTTACAGTTATCAGTCGGCTAAAAATACCAGGTAGCAAGCACTCACTAGGCACGTTCCTCTTAAGACATCTCCCCGGACACTCACCCACCCCACCCACCTTCTCTTGACTCGGGAAGGTAATGCAGTTACCCCCTTTTCCCCTCTAAAGGAAAAATGCCGCAGAAATGTTAGGAATTAGGTTTGGTGTGGTGGGCAGCATGCCACTAGCGCCCAGTCATTAAATGCCGGGATTAAAGGTGGGTTGGTGTGTGGTAATGGTGGGCCCGAGAATTGCCGCATCACTTGTGTGGAGATTCTTGACGAGTGGGAGTCTTGGGTGGTGGACTCCCTCCGTCTTGTGGACGGGTGGCGGGCTCCCGTCCGTCTTGTAGACGGGTGGCGGACTCCCGTCCGTCTTGTGGACGGGTGGTGGACTCCCGTCCGTCTTGTGGACGGGTGGTGGACTCCCGTCCGTCTTGTGGACGGGTGGTGGACTCCCGTCCGTCTTGTGGACGGGTGGTGGACTCCCGTCCGTCTTGTGGACGGGTGGTGGACTCCCGTCCGTCTTGTGGACGGGTGGTGGACTCTCTCCGTCTTGTGGACGGGTGGTGGACTCCCGTCCGTCTTGTGGACGGGTGGTGGACTCCCGTCCGTCTTGTGGACGGGTGGTGGACTCCCGTCCGTCCTGTGGACGGGTGGTGGACTCTCTCCGTCTTGTGGACGGGTGGTGGACTCCCGTCCGTCTTGTGGACGGGTGGTGGACTCCCGTCCGTCTTGTGGACGGGTGGTGGACTCTCTCCGTCTTGTGGACGGGTGGTGGACTCCCGTCCGTCTTGTGGACGGGTGGTGGACTCCCGTCCGTCTTGTGGACGAGTGGCGGACTCCCGTCCGTCTTGTAGACGGGTGGTGGACTCCCTCCGTCTTGTAGACGGGTGGTGGACTCCCTCCGTCTTGTAGACGGGTGGTGGACTCCCTCCGTCTTGTAGACGGGTGGTGGACTCCCTCCGTCTTGTAGACGGGTGGTGGACTCCCTTCCGTCTTGTGGACGGGTGGTGGACTCCCTCCGTCTTGTAGACGGGTGGTGGACTCCCTCCGTCTTGTAGACGGGTGGGGGACTCCCTCCGTCTTGAAGACGGGTGGTGGACTCCCTCCGTCTTGCAGACGGGTGGTGGACTCCCTTCCGTCTTGTGGACGGGTGGTGGACTCCCTTCCGTCTTGTGGACGGGTGGTGGACTCCCTCCGTCTTGTAGACGGGTGGTGGACTCCCTCCGTCTTGTAGACGGGTGGCGGGCTCCCGTCCGTCTTGTGGACGGGTGGTGGACTCCCGTCCGTCTTGTGGACGGGTGGTGGACTCCCGTCCGTCTTGTGGACGGGTGGTGGACTCCCGTCCGTCTTGTGGACGGGTGGTGGACTCCCGTCCGTCTTGTGGACGGGTGGTGGACTCCCGTCCGTCTTGTGGACGGGTGGTGGACTCCCGTCCGTCTTGTGGACGGGTGGTGGACTCCCGTCCGTCTTGTGGACGGGTGGTGGACTCCCGTCCGTCTTGTGGACGGGTGGTGGACTCCCGTCCGTCTTGTGGACGGGTGGTGGACTCCCGTCCGTCTTGTGGACGGGTGGTGGACTCCCGTCCGTCTTGTGGACGGGTGGTGGACTCCCGTCCGTCTTGTGGACGGGTGGTGGACTCCCGTCCGTCTTGTGGACGGGTGGTGGACTCCCGTCCGTCTTGTGGACGGGTGGTGGACTCCCGTCCGTCTTGTGGACGGGTGGTGGACTCTCTCCGTCTTGTGGACGGGTGGTGGACTCCCTCCGTCTTGTGGACGGGTGGTGGACTCCCGTCCGTCTTGTGGACGGGTGGTGGACTCCCGTCCGTCTTGTGGACGGGTGGTGGACTCCCGTCCGTCTTGTGGACGGGTGGTGGACTCCCTCCGTCTTGTGGACGGGTGGTGGACTCTCTCCGTCTTGTGGACGGGTGGTGAACTCCCTCCGTCTTGTGGACGGGTGGTGGACTCCCGTCCGTCTTGTGGACGGGTGGTGGACTCCCTCCGTCTTGTGGACGGGTGGTGGACTCCCGTCCGTCTTGTGGACGGGTGGTGGACTCCCGTCCGTCTTGTGGACGGGTGTTATAGTCTTGGGGTGTCGGGAGGTGGACCCCCTCAGTCTTGTAGACAGACTAGTCATTAAGGAGAGAGGATATTATCAAGAGAAAGCACAAACACATTACGACTATATAACGCTTGGTAGAGGGTCAGGATAAAGACTTCGGATGGGACGGGGGAAAGGAATGGTGCCCAACCACGTGGACGGTCAGGGATTGAACGTCGATCTGCATGAAGCGAGACCGTCGCTCTACCGTCCAGCCCAAGTGGTTGGGGTCTTGTAGACGGGTGGTAGTCTTGGCGTATCGCGATTGATACTCTAATATGCAAGAGTTAAAATATGCAAGTATTACCTAATGACACTATTCCAATGTGCAGTGTTTTATTATTGTATATGGCAACTACATTATAAATATAAGCTGTGTACATCTTTATTTATAATGTCATTTATAATTTTGGTATAAAGTGTTAATGGAAATTTGACAACGTTCATAAGAGACAGAGAAGGGGTTACACAATACTACTACCCCCTCGCTGGCACCAACCATCTCTTTTGGGGGTTAAAGTGTAAGTGTGTGTGAGAGAGAGGGAGAGAAAGAGAGAGAGGGGGAAAGGGAGAGGGAGGGAGGGAGGGAAGGGAAGGGGCCAGCCGGCATTACTATAAATACTAAATTCTGATTGATTTTTGTGATATTGTGTATATATTCACAGTGATGCCTGATCCGCCTGCAACAGGTTGCAGGCCGAGTTTAACGACAGACCAACGTTAAGCAAGTGATTATCTGTGTGGTATGATGAGTGTTCAACCTGTTAGTGAATTATGTATTTTATACACACACACACACACACTCACACTCACACTCACACTCACACACACACACACACACACACACACACACACACACACGAGACACATTTAGATATATGCACATGTTTTATCATCAATTTAATAGGACACTATTGTGTTGATTGTAATAGACATGTTGATTGCTAGAGTATCCAGAAATAACTCCCATGTTTGCCTTACAACTGGCAGTGTTTGAGATTGGTTGTCTAAGAAAGTGTTAAGACAGGATAGTCCACGAGTGAACCAAGTGAGTTGAAGTGTCAGGCCGTCTTTCTAGCTTCGATTACACCAATGCAGAATAACGTAAACATTCTATGTATTAGTATGTAAGTTCTGTAAATAAATATTCTTTTACAACGGTGTAAAGGTCGAGCCTGGCCCCAAGCCGGGCTCGGGGCCAGGCTCGAACTGGGACCAGGAGAAGCCTGTCAATAAGGAAAGCCCACAGAAGAACCCCTATACTCGACCCAGAACACCCTTGGCCTGACTAACAACAAACACAAACACACACCCTCAGGGGAATCGACCGGGTAAACAAGGATGAACTATTCAACACTGGTGGGACGCGAACAAGGGGACACAGGTGGAAGCTGAGTACCCAAATGAGCCACAGAGACGTCAGAAAGAACTTTTTCAGTGTCAGAGTAGTTAGTAAATGGAATGCATTAGGAAGTGATGTGGTGGAGGCTGACTCCATACACAGTTTCAAATGTAGATATGATAGAGCCCAATAGGCTCAGGAATCTGTACACCAGTTGATTGACGGTAGAGAGGCGGGACCAAAGAGCCAGAGCTCAACCCCCGCAAGCACAATTAGGTGAGTACAATTAGGTTAGTACACACACACTGTGACGGTAAAGTGTTGGAGTGTGGATGTTCGGCAGTCCTCCAATGGCAGGTGTCAATGCCTGGTCACACTTTCATAAAAAAAAAGACTGCTTGCCTGTTTGTCTGTGGGAAGGTAATGGGAAGACACACAAAACACAATATAAACAATGAAATTTTAATTACTTTAGAAAACAAGATATGAACAAAGACAATCCCTTGGTTTACGTAAAATTCAAAACAAGTCAACAAACAAAACAACATGAATAATTAATAGATGTGGAAATTTACTCTAAAATAAAATAATGTGCAAGACAATAATAATAATCAGGTGCTGAGAATATTGGCTAGAGCTGCCACCTCCCTTAGTACACGACAGCCAGGGCTTAGTCTACCAGAGAGAGATGTCAACTTCTAAGAGCACAAAGATATTCTGAGGAGGATGGCGTGAGCTGGCCCAGACGTTGACTCAGGTAGAGGGCGTGAGTGCAGGTGCAGGTGTGCTGGGCGATACACCAGCCAATCAGGAGCAGGCAGGCGGAGAATGGGTAGTTTGCTCATTGACGACGGGTGGAGAGCCGGCGTGTCGGGTGGTGCAAGGTACGCTTTGCTTCCTGGGCAAAACGTTTGATACTGGTGAACGTATCTTTAATATAGCATCTTGTACTTGTAGAATGACGTAATTGATATAGGGAAGAGCAGGCTCAATCTCTCTTGAAAGAGATTATCGTCACAACACACGCACACACACACACACACACACACACACACACACACACACACACACACACACACACACACACACACACACACACACACACACACACACTATATCATCTTACATATGCTGTCAAAAAACCACACTTACTAATACTATTTATCCTTGCAAGTGGAATTGTCGTGAGGGACTACCAGGTATCCTTACGAGCGCGAGGGGCGTTATAGCGGCGGTATATCAAGACGTGGCGGCGCTGGCAATACCCACGAGGCCATGTAGTGTGCCCGAGTTTATAGATCTTGTTAGAGAGTGGCGGAGGGAGGAGTCTAAACTGAATATTGGCGTAGTAGGGAAGTGTGCCGCGCCGGGTAATGTTGAGAGGGAGGGAGGGGAGTGTGGGAAAGGGAAGGGGGGGAGGGAGTGTGGGAGAGGGAAGGGGAGGGAGGGAGGGAGTGTGGGAGAGGGAAGGGGAGGGAGGGAGGGAGTGTGGGAGAGGGAAGGGGAGGGAGGGAGGGAGTGTGGGAGAGGGAAGGGGGGGAGGGAGTGTGGGAGAAGGAAGGGGAGGGAGGGGAGTGTGGGAGAGGGAAGGGGGGGAGGGAGTGTGGGAGAGGGAAGGGGGGGGAGGGAGTGTGGGAGAGGGAAGGGGGGGGAGTGTGGGAGAGGGAAGGGGGGAGGGGGAGTGTGGGAGAGGGAAGGGGGGAGAGGGGGGGGGGGAGGGAGTGTGGGAGAGGGAAGGGGGGAGGGAGTGTGGGAGAGGGAAGGGGGGAGGGAGTGTGGGAGAGGGAAAGGGGGGGAGAAGGGAGGGAAAGGCAGGCAGGGAGAGGGAAGGGGGAGGAGAAGGGAGGGAAAGGCAGGCAGGGAGAGGGAAGGGAGTGTGGGAGAAGGGAGGGAAAGGTAGAAAGAGAGAGTTCGGAAGGGGTAGGAAGGGGAGGTGGTGGGGAGCGTAGGGGAGTGATGGGGAGTACGGGAGAGGGGGGGGATGGAGGGAAAGATAATGAAGTTGGGAAGATAGATGTGAGAGATATGATTATATAATGTAACTTGAGAAGTGTGTGTTGTGGTGGGGAAGGGGAGAGGGGGGGCGGGGGTGTTACAGTACAGCAGGGACATAGTGTACTCATCTACTTGTGCTTGCGGGGATTGAGCTCTGGCTCTTTGGTCCCGCCTCTCAATTGTCAATCAGCTGGTGTACAGGTTCCTGAGCCTACTGGGCTCTATCATATCTACACTTAAACTGTGTATGGAGTCAACCTCCACCACATCACTGCCTAATGCATTCCATTTATTAACTACTCTGACAATGAAAAAATTCTTTCTAACGTCCCTGTGGCTCATCTGGGTACTCGGTTTCCACCTGTGTCCCCTTGTTCGTGTCCCACCCGTGCTGAAGAGTTTGTCTTTGTCCACCCTGTCAATTTCCCCAAGAATTTTGTAGGGGGTTTTGTAGTGTGGGGGAAATTCCTAGAGTACCTTACCTTTAAATGGTTTCGTGGCTTAGCGTCCCAGCGGTCGGTCCTCGACCAGGCCTCCTAGCCACTTGTTAGTAGGCTAGCATAAATGTCCTCCCCTTCCCTCTCCCACACTCCCTCCCCCCCCTTCCCTCTCCCACACTCCCTCCCCCCCCCTTCCCTCCCCCACACTCCCTCCCCCTCTTCCCCTCTCCTACACACCCTCTCTCTCCCCAACTTTTCCTTGCACGGCATACTTTCCTACTACGACACTATTCACTTCAGACTCCTAGTCTACCAGGAGTAGAGCACAAACACTGAACAACTCTCCTACCATCCTCCATATAGGACGGGACGACCTACTAAATGTTTGGTTTGGTAGCTGCCGCCTTCATCAGCCTCTTTACGAAACCTGGAAATGATATTGGTGCAGCAGTCCCCATGTTGTACTGCCGCCCACAGTAACTGTAGGTGCTACAGTGTCTGAACGACAGGCTAGGAAACTAACATAGTACAAATGCAGGCGATGAGTCACAATAACGTGGCTAAAGTATGTTGACAAGACCACACACTAGAAGGTGAAGGGACGACGACGTTTCGGTCCGTCCTGGACCATTCTCAAGTTGATTGATGTAACATAGTGCAGCAGGGGACAGTTAGTTGTAATTCAAGTTGGAAGGAAGGTGGGGAGCCGGTCGGCCGAGCGGACAGCACGCTGGACTTGTGGTCCTGGGTTCGATCCCAGGCGCCGGCGAGAAACAATGGGCAGATTTTCTTTCACCCTATGCCCCCTGTTACCTAGCAGTAAAATAGGTACCTGGGTGTTAGTCAGCTGTCACGGGCTGCTTCCCGGGGGTGGAGGCCTGGTCGAGGACCGGGCCGCGGGGACACTATATATGACACTCCTATACAGAAACCTACTTTATATTCTTTAACCCCGGTGGTAAGGTCCTGAGCAGCGTAGTTCAGAGTTAATACCCAGAAGTGTGTAGTGTAACTGTAATGTTATTTCAACTTATTATATAATAAATCAGGTCATATAAAATTAACCAACCTTTTCTCTGTGGTACTGGGTCAGTTTGTGACAAGATTGAAGGATAGACGTGAAAGTCACGCATGCAAATATTCAGGGAAGGTGTAGCTAGGTGTTGTGCTAGTAGTACTCATCTATCTTGAGTCATCTTGAGATGATTTCGGGGCTTTATTTTAGTGTCCCCGCGGCCCGGTCCTCGACCAGGTCTCCACCCCCAGGAAGCAGCCCGTGACAGCTGACTAACACCCAGGTACGTATTTTACTGCTAGGTAACAGGGGCATAGGGTGAAAAACTCTGCCCATTGTTTCTCGCCGGCGCCTGAAATCGAACCCAGGACCACAGGATCACAAGTCCAGCGTGCTGTCCGCTCGGCCGACCGGCTCCCTAGTGAGTAACGCTTGCGTCAGGGGTGACCCACCACGGGTGTTCAATAACATACACTCCTCCTAGAAATATCCCTGTGACTTAAACTTATTAAGAAAGGCACATGAGAAATAAGAATTTTGTAATCATGTGGCGAGAGCTAAAAAAAAACACACAGCTTGACGTAAATTAAATACTACAAATATAAAAGGGAAGGGAAGTATCAGGAGAAGCGCCAAGCTATTACGACTATATAATGCTTGGAAGGGGTTCGGATAAGGATTTGGTATGGTGCCGAACTACTACGGGACAGTCGGGAACATAAGAACATAAGAACAAAGGTAACTGCAGAAGGCCTATTGGCCCATACGAGGCAGCTCCTATTCTATAACCACCCAATCCCACTCATATACTTGTCCAACCCGTGCTTGAAACAATCGAGGGACCCCACCTCCACAATGTTACGCGGCAATTGGTTCCACAAATCAACAACCCTGTTACTGAACCAGTATTTACCCAAGTCTTTCCTAAATCTAAACTTATCCAATTTATATCCATTGTTTCGTGTTCTGTCCTGTGTTGATACTTTTAATACCCTATTAATATCCCCCCGGTTATGTCCATTCATCCACTTGTAAACCTCTATCATGTCACCCCTAACTCTTCGCCTTTCCAGTGAATGCAACTTAAGCTTTGTTAATCTTTCTTCATATGAAAGATTTCTAATTTGGGGAATTAACTTAGTCATCCTACGCTGGACACGTTCAAGTGAATTTATATCCATTCTATAATATGGCGACCAAAACTGAACTGCATAATCTAAATGGGGCCTAACTAGAGCAAGATATAGCTTGAGAACCACACCAGGTGTCTTGTTACTAACGCTGCGATTAATAAATCCAAGTGTCCGATTTGCCTTATTACGAACATTTATGCATTGATCCTTTTGTTTTAAATTCTTACTAATCATAACTCCCAGATCCCTTTCGCAATCCGACTTCGCAATCACAACACCATCTAGCTCGTATCTTGTAACTCTATCATCATTACCTAACCTCAGAACTTTACATTTATCAGCATTAAACTGCATCTGCCAATCCTTTGACCATTTCAAAACCCTATCTAGATCAACTTGAAGTGATAGTGAGTCCTCCTCCGAATTAATTTCCCTACCGATTTTCGTATCATCGGCAAATTTGCAAATGTTGCTACTCAAACCTGAATCTAAATCATTTATATATATTATAAACAACAGAGTTCCCAGGACAGAGCCTTGAGGCACTCCACTTACAACATTTTCCCACTCTGACTTGATTCCATTTATACTAACTCTCTGTTTCCTTTGGTATAGCCATGCCCTAATCCAGCTTAATATAGCACCCCCAATACCATGAGACTCTATTTTTTTAATCAGTCTTTCATGTGGCACTGTATCAAAAGCTTTGCTAAAGTCAAGGTATACAACATCGCAATCCTTACCACTATCAACTGCCTCAACAATGCTAGAATAAAAAGATAACAAATTTGTTAAACATGAACGGCCATTTATAAAACCATGTAGCGACTCAATTATTAATTTATGTTTTTCAAGATGAAGACGAATTTTATTTGCTATTATAGATTCGAGTAACTTTCCCACAATAGACGTTAGGCTAATTGGTCGATAGTTAGACGCAAGTGATCTATCTCCTTTCTTAAAAACTGGTATCACATTAGCAACTTTCCAAAACTCTGGCACTCTGCCTGACTCTATTGATTTATTAAATATGGTTGACAGTGGGTCACAAAGCTCCTCTTTGCATTCTTTAAGCACCCTGGCAAACACTTCATCCGGCCCTGGGGATTTGTTTGGTTTGAGTTTTACTATTTGTTTAAGAACATCCTCCCTGGTAACTGCTAAACTCGTCAACCTGTCCTCGTCCCCACCCACATAGACTTGTTCGGCTGAAGGCATATTGTTAAGTTCCTCTTTAGTAAATACAGATACAAAATATTTATTAAAAATACTACTCATCTCTTCATCACTATCTGTTATTTGACCTGTCTCAGTTTTTAATGGACCTATCCTTTCCCTAGTCTTAGTACGATATAACTGAAAAAACCCTTTAGGATTTGTCTTTGCTTGCCCTGCTATGCGAACTTCATAGTTTCTTTTTGCTTTCCTTATCTCTTTTTTAACATTTCTAACCAGTTGTACGAATTCCTGTTCTAAAGTGACCTCCCCATTTTTAATCCTTTTGTACCAAGCTCTCTTTTTACCTATAAGGTTCTTCAAATTCTTTGTTATCCACTTTGGGTCATTAGTATTCGATCTATTCAATTTGTATGGTATACTACGTTCCTGTGCTTTGTTTAGAATATTCTTAAATAAGTTATATATTGAATCCACATCGAAATCCCCATTTAAGTCACCTATCGCTGGGTTCATGTCTCGCTCCAAGACCGGCCCACACCCCATACCCAAGACTTTCCAATCAATTTGACCCAAAAAATTTCTTAGGCTATTAAAATCAGCTTTTCGAAAATCTGGCACTTTAACAGAATTTTCTCCTACTGGTCTATTCCATTCTATGCTAAATCTGATTTCTTTGTGATCACTGCTCCCTAGCTCACTCCCTATTTCGATGTCATTAATTTGCGTTTCCCTGTTAGTTAACACTAAATCTAAAATATTATTTTCCCGTGTTGGTTCCTTAATGTGTTGCGTAAGAAAGCAATCGTCAATTAATTCTAGAAAATCTTCTGCTTCACTATTCCCTGTTTTGTTCAACCAGTTTATTCCGCTAAAATTAAAGTCACCCATGACATAAATACTGTTAGATCTAGATGCTCTAGATATTTCATCCCATAGGTGCTTTGCTTCCATTCTGTCTAAATTTGGTGGCCTATATATTACTCCTATTATAATATTATTAGCTTTTTCGTTTAATTCAATCCAAATAGTTTCTGTGTGTGGCTCTGTTTTGATTCCCTCTTTGAGACTACATTTCAAATTGTTCCTAACATATATGGCTACTCCACCTCCTCGTCTAATATATCTATCTGAATTGAATGCCGCCGACCTGCATGAAGCGAGATATAGGGAAAATAGATAGATATAGGGATAGGGATATATATAGACGATAGGGATAGATATAGATATAGGGATATAGATATATAGATATAGGGATATTGGCCTGTTATGTTGGACATTGTCTTCTGTGTTGGCATCGATATGTTCTTGTCTTGTCCTTACTCTCATGGTGGGTAGAGTAAATAGTTCCGTGATTTGGGTGTTCATGGTAGGTCGCTCTATTCTTATCACATAAGAATAGAGCGACCTACCATGAACACCCAAATCACGGAACTATTTACTCTACCCACCATGAGAGTAAGGACAAGACAAGAACATATCGATGCCAATGTAGGGATATATATAGACTTCGCTCTACCGTCCACCCCAAGTGATAGGAGCTCTCAAAAATGTGTGCCAGTATCCCAACACTTCACACAGGGATAATTCCTCCTGCTTCCGGGTATACATGCTCCCTGCTTGCGCCTCCAGTCCGCCAAGAGACCCAGAGACTCTTCAAGAAGTTACACGACCAAAGATTATGATTGATTGATTGATAAAGATTAAGCCACCCAAGAGGTGGCACGGACATGAATAGCCCGTAAGTGGCGGCCCTTTTGAGCCATGACCAGTATCATTAGCTGATACTGGAGATCTGTGGAGGTGCGACTGCACCCTGCGTGACGGGAGATGTCTCCCGTGCAAAGATTACATTCACTCCAAACATGTATACCACTTACGGGCTACTAATGCCCGTGCCACCTCTTGTGGTGGCTTAATCTTTATCAGTCAATCAATCAATCATCAGCCTCCAACTGCTAGTTACCAGGCGTCATCTTTGCTGTGCTTTCAAGTGTTAAACTGTCGTTATACCCCATATTTGACATTAATTTGTTGACCTTTAATCTCGATTGTAAATTACAAAAGATATTTCTGTCATAAAGCACTTCAGAAACGCTTAAGACTCTAAACACGACTAATTCATCACCATTTATACTTTTGATTCCCATTTTTCTAATAGTTCAACTCACCAAACACTCGTATAAGAACATAAGAACATAAGAACAAAGGCAACTGCAGAAGGCTTGTTGGCCCATACGAGGCAGCTCCTATTTATAACCACCCAATCCCACTCATAACACCAGTCTTCGTGGTGTAGTGGTAAGACACTCGCCTGGCGTTCCGCGAGCGCTATGTCATGGGTTCGTATCCTGGCCGGGGAGGATTTACTGGGCGCAATTCCTTAACTGTAGCCTCTGTTTAACGCAACAGTAAAATGTGTACTTGGATGAAAAAACGATTCTTCGCGGCGGGGATCGTATTCCAGGGACTTGCCCGAAAAGCTACGCGTACTAGTGGCTGTACAAGAATGTAACAACTCTTGTATATATCTCAAAAAAAAAAAAATATATATACATTTCCAACCCGTGCTTGAAACAATGGAGGGACCCCACCTCCACAATGTTACGCGGCAATTGGTTCCACAAATCAACAACCCTGTTACTGAACCAGTATTTACCCAAGTCTTTCCTAAATCTAAACTTATCC